TAATTCTATCAACGGTCTCAAACACGGCAAGTATACCAGCCGTTTAAGTAGTAAAAATATCGTATCCACAGGGATTAGAAGGTAATATAAGCATTTATTGACTATTCATGACTAAAGAATAATTCCAATTTCATAGTTTGTGCAGTGAATTCAAAGTTGTGACTATTGGAATGAAAGCTGTAAATAAATATTGTTTTGTGAGTGGAAAAGGTAAGGAATGGTATTGTGGGATTGTGAGGAGGGTTCTGAGTTATGTTTATGTTTGTTTTATTTATTTAATTTTATTAAAGTGTTTTTAATAAAATAAGATTTTTTTACTTTTTATTATGTTTGTCTAAACTTCTTTTTTTAAAATGTACCAGATTAGTCTTTCATTGATCAAATGAGTCAAAGCACATAAGTTCTTCATACTTTCATGCTTGAATTTAGAGGGATAATGTATCATATCGATCTTTCAATGACCAAATAGCTTAATCACTTAGACTATTTGCACCTTTAACACTTGAACTTAGAAGGAAGTGCATCATATTGATCTCTTATGGATTGAATATACTGAGTAGGTCCTTTGACTAATGATCGACCAATTTGTCAAATATATCTTATAATAAGATTCAGTCGATTTCCAAATAGTCTCTACAAGTAATTGATACAAGACGTCTTAATTTACTAGACACAATAACAATCATAAATGTTAAGATTTATTAACCTATTAATGACATTAATAACACAACATAATTTAAGTGATCATGAAAGAAATAAAATATTCACGTCCATGTGAGAAGATCAATTTTATACTTACTGAATATTCTAAATGAAGTCCATTGCTAGATCTTTCTAAAGAAAGTTTCATTTCGAAACATAAAATAAACATTTTATTTAAGAAAATTAATTTTATACTCACTGAATATTCTAAATGAAGACGATTGCTAGATCTTTCTAGATAAAGTTTCATTTTGAAACATAAAATAAACAATTTTTTAAGATGTAACTCCGGTCTACTTCTTAAAGAATTATTTTTTTCAAAAACACTTATTAAAAAACACTTTTTTTAAAGTTTAAATAAAAAATCCTATAACGGTTTCAGCACAACTAACAGACCCTATGTCAAAATTCTTCTTATTTTGTAATAACATTTCTCTAATGTCTAAATAGTAAATACTTCATTAAAATCAAATTAATTCAATAGAATAACATTATAAATAGCAAAACCTTCTTTACATTTATATAAAATACAATTTTAAACTTATGTTAAAAAATAAAAAAATATTAATAATGTATTTATTTTTATTTAACAACTCTATTTTAAACAATACAATCAATATTTTTAATAAATTCTCTAATATATTTTCATTAGTAATTTATTTTTTGAGAAAACAAAATCATTTTATGATATTATGATATATTAAAAATTAAAATAAATATATAATTATAATATTTATATAAGAGCTTTTCATTTTAATTTTTTTAATTAATATCTTAAAGGATTAATTAACATATGAGAAATCATTATTTATACATTGGAATTATAAAATAAATAACAATACTAATATTTTTTTCTCTATCTTTATTTTTCATTTTCAAACAAATAATCATACTCATAGATTCTTTTCTATAATGCATTTGTATCATTAAAGTTGTTGAAACAAGTTTCAGCCCCCATGGGCCAACCCAGTTTGCCTTAAAAATGAATCGGGTTAGGTTAAAAAATTAGAAATTCTTATAATGGGTCAAAAATGGTAATCTAGCTCACTTTCGACCCGGCCCACCTAGGCTAAATCCGTGGTGGACCGAGCTACTCACCTAACCTACTTACACTCTCATCAACTCAACCCACTAACAACCCACTTAATCATTTATTATTATTATATATATATATATATATATTATTTTAATAATATACCATTTTTCTTTAGATAAAGATAAATTTGATATTAAACAACATGAAATTGTTATAAATTTATCTACTCAAACCTCTAATGAAGTTTAATATCGATGAATAATCATTCTCATGAAAGGATTTTTATTTTTTTGTTTTGATTATTTAAAATTGTACACTTTTTAATTTAAGTTTAATGTTGTATGCATGATACTTAGTTTGACAATTTTTACTTTAAATTAAAGATTATTTTAGATTAGAATTTATTTTAAATTATTTTTTTAAAATTAGGTGGATTAGTGGGTCGGTCTATTTAGTCCACCAACCCGTGATGAACCGGATTGAGTTAGAAAATTTTGGACATTAAAGTTGGTGGGTCAAGTTGGATCAATTTACTTAAAAAGTGGGTTAAGATAAGACAAATTAAACAGATCAGATCCATTTAGAGAGTTTGTATCGTGAATGTTGATCGATTTATAAATAATATTTCATATTGTTGTTTGCAGTCCCTCAAACTTAATAGTAATTTTTTCAAATAGACTAAAATAAGCTCTCTCTTTTTTTTCTTCTTTTCAAATTACATATTAAAAATAAAAATAACTTTATTCTAAATTTAGAGATAGGGGATTATCATAAATGGTGGTAGGTTCGAACTTGTGATACGCATGACGAGAGGTTTCCCTTTTGATTCAAATTTAAGAGTTGCTTTTTTCCGCCTCTATCGAAAGTGGAAACAAAGTAAAGCATCACACCAACTAAAACAAACACAATTTTTGAAATTGCGATTTTCATCACTTTCCAACACCTTAGAGGCCTTGCTATTTATTTCCCCGCCCAATCGGATGATAATTGAATTAATCGATTAACTGCTATCACGAGCTCGTTGTTGAAGTTTGATTTGTGTCTTGAGATTCCTCTGTGGTTGAGTTAGTTGTGAGAAGAGAAGAGAGCATCATGGTGTTGAGGAAAGTGGGAAAGTATGAGATTGGAAGGACCGTTGGAGAGGGAACCTTTGCGAAGGTTAAGTTCGCTCAGAACACAGAAACTGGTGAGAGTGTCGCCATGAAGGTGCTCGACCGTAGCACCATCATCAAGCACAAAATGATCGACCAGGTACTCTATCTTAATTTAGTATAGTCCTAAGTCATAGCCAACAAGTCGTTTATCCGAGTAAAATTACACTTTTTTTAATTATTTTTAAATAAGGTATTTGATTTGAGTCTTGTAATAGAAAATACAGGGTTGAAAGGAGAAATCTAACTAAAGATAGTTTGTGTCACGTTCTGGGTTTAAATTACTCACGGACAAAGTTGGTAGATACTTTGCTGAATATGTTAAGTGTTAATGGTCCTTTAATTTGATCTTTATTCTATGGACTGCCAATTTTTTTTATACGTAAGAAAGATTATAAATACAGCGACTGAGATTGAATATAGATCCTCCTGCTTTTACCTCAACGGTCAACTCCTTCCTCCAGACCACTAGCTACTGCCAATTAATTTAGTCACGGATTTTGAAAACTATCGGCAAATTTAGATCCTAGCACGAGATTTTTTATTTTTATTTTTATGCATATGATATGGTTCCTTGTGTATGGAACCAAATCAACTGAACAAATTGCCTGATGATGCAATTGCAGAAACCAGATTGATTGATATTAAATTCGTTTTAATAATTTCGGGGACTAATTTGGAGTATTACTCTTTATGTTTTGTTACTTAAAAGGGGTGACAAATGGTCTTTTTCTTTTTTCTTCTTTAAGTTCTTTTAGGGTATATTTGGTTCCATATCAAACATGTCAGAAATCAATTCCATAGCATTCTTGATTTTAAGATGTGAAAATTCACATCTGCTTGGAAGTAACTATTAGTAGTTTCTTCATTAAACAAAATCAATTATGGAGTTTTATCTACCCAAAGTTGTAGTTATATACTCAAAATCAATTTTGATAACAAGTTTTCAAATATTTTAATAAGATACAACAAAAGTATATCTTTAAAAGAAAGTTAATTCAGATATACATATTTTAATTGTTTTCTTGTGTTCTTGTTATAGCATAGAAAAGCACAGAGCTCAAGTGTCTTCCCTGAGCATTTCTTACATTAACACACCAATAAAAAAACTTAGTGTGCATGGGTTGATCAGTTATATGTGGCGATTTTCATAGGGTTTACTAATATTATTAAGATGAATTATGAGTATTAATTAATCTCTTTCATGCCGATTGATGCTATTACTTTGATTGGATTGGAATCCCTGTGAGTGAGGGTATAAGACGTTTAGGCATGGGTTTCTTCCATTTTAAGATATGAGAGATTTTTTGGTACAATGGTGGCAATGAGGTTTGAACTTATGATCTCATGCAAACCTACCCACAGCCATTATGATTGTTATGGTTTCTATTTTTGAACTGTATTTGATTGTTATTTATTGATTTTAATACAATGCAGATCAAGAGGGAAATTTCTATTATGAAGCTAGTCAGACATCCATATGTTGTTCGTCTGCACGAGGCATGTGATATTTTCGTTCTCCCTTCTTATATAGTCTGTTTGGAATAACTTGTTTCTGGGCAGAAAAGCTTTTAAATAAAGGCTTTACTAAAAGAGGTTTTGAAAAAAGAAAGAAATATATATTTTTTTTTTCAAAACAACTTTTCTAAACATGCACTTAAAGCTCATTAAATTTAAGAATTTGTTTGGCTTTAATTACTTGTTCTCCAATTCATGATGATTATCAATGAAGTGTGAAATATTGTATCAACTATCAAATTTTAGTAGTCTTTCTGGATAGAAATGTAAAATCAAAATTATAGAGTTTTTCCGTTCATTAATAGTTTGGAGAGAGGAACAATATTGGAAAAATCATTTCAGAATTTGTCTTGGTTTGAAAATTTCGATCTCTTATACATTTTTTTTGCTTAAAATGTTTTGGAAGTAGGGGCCAATGTCTAATATTTGCTCTGATGTCTTTCAATGCTTCTCTCTTATTGGCAGTCACCATTCAATATTCACAACTCACAAGTGCTTCATTTTGTTTTGATATATGACTTTCATCAGGTTCTAGCAAGCCGTACTAAGATTTATATCATATTGGAGTTTATTACGGGTGGTGAATTGTTTGATAAAATTGTGAGTAGCTCAAGGTGGTTGTATGCTTTAAATTTTTAGTGTGATTATTATTATTATTGTTCTCAGTTTGATGTTGATAATGAAGAAAGTAATGGTGTAGGTAAACCATGGGCGTCTTAGTGAAGCTGAATCTAGAAGATACTTCCAACAGCTTATTGATGGGGTAGATTATTGCCACAGTAAAGGAGTTTATCATAGAGATTTAAAGGTTTGTATTGACTGGGATCTGGAATGCTATCTTCATAATTATCATGATTTCTGGATTTTCTGCTAAGTATTTTCTTTTTCCTTCTGCAGCCTGAAAATCTTTTACTTGATTCACAAGGAAATATAAAGATTTCAGATTTTGGTTTGAGTGCATTTCCAGAACAGGTGTGAGATTGTTAAATAATTCTTAAAATTGACTTTAATTCATGTGTATGAAATGATATTCAAACATTTCCATACTTATCCAATGTTATTCTGTGAAAATTCTCATAGGGGATCAGTATGCTTCGCACAACTTGTGGGACTCCTAATTATGTAGCTCCCGAGGTAATACATGGTTGTCTTCTTTGTTAATATGCTTTTATGTCATCTTGAGCTACTTCCTAATTTTGTAGCTTGGCTTCTGCATTTAACATTTATGTTTATGGTTTCAGGTAATCAGTCACAAGGGTTACAATGGTGCTCCAGCAGATGTTTGGTCCTGTGGAGTTATCCTCTACGTTCTAATGGCTGGATATCTTCCCTTTGACGAACTTGATCTAACTACGTTGTACAGTAAGGCATGAATTTATATATGTCAAATATGTATTTTACTATGTTATAGATGGGATCCGAATCCTCAGTTTAAAGATGTCTTGAACATTTATCTTGCACATAGTTACTGCTGTGCCTACAAGTTCTTGGGATCGAGACTTTTTTCTTGGTATCAAATGGCTCAGGAAACACTGCTTTGTCTATTAGTTTCTCTTTTTAGCAAGATGTTTTGTTCAAAATAAAATTTTAGATTATTATTAACGCTGTTGATTTTTTTCTTCTTACTCCTGTACAGATTGAGAAAGCACAGTTTTCGTGCCCTTCTTGGTTTCCTGTGGGAGCAAAGTCTTTAATACACAGAATTTTGGACCCAAATCCTGAACATGTAAGAATTGGCTTTGTGTAGCCAGATTTTTTTCATAATGTCAAAAGAGTTTGTTCAAGTATTTCTTCCATTTTCTGTTGCGGAGCTTGTATAGTTTACATGACTATTATAATGTATTAATATTAATATTCTAGTTGACTTAGTGTTTACTTCTAATACTTGTTTCTCACAACTCTCTTTCCCATTTCCAATCTTGTGTGTTTGTGTGTACATGTTGATTTCAGCGTATAACCATTCAGCAGATAAGGAATGATGAGTGGTTTCAAAAGGGATACATTCCAGTCAGTCTCCTCGAGTATGAAGATATAAATCTGGATGATGTAAATGCCGCATTTGACAATGTTGAGGTCTGTTTACTTTTTAATTTTCAATAAGTCAAGTTTAATTTTATATTAAACCTTTCTATTTAAAGCTAATTCACCATAACTTTAATATACTCAATGAGCATCGTATCCTTTGAATGAATTTAAAATTCATATTTTGAAAATGTCTAGTTATCCTCTCTAAATATTTTTATAGAGTAGTTTAAGGGTGCAAAATAACAATATCAGCAATTGATTTTGAGTACTATGTCTGAAAGCAAATAATGGTGCTCAAACCTCTGGTGTACTAAAATCTCAAAATATCAATGATGATGGAGATATTAACAGAAAAAAAAAATGATTTGAATGCAAAAGCTATGTCACTGTTTGTCTTGATTAATTTATGTTTCTTCAATTCAGATAGCTTGCTTTTTCCTGATGCATCCATATGGAATGTACCGTCTCAGTTATGTTGACATATTGATTATTTTGTCACTGTAGGATCAGAGGACTAATCACCAATGTGAGAATGACGACATGGGTCCTCTAACTCTTAATGCATTCGACATGATAATTTTATCTCAGGGCTTAAACCTTGCAACCTTATTTGATCGTGGACAGGTATTTAATATGATGTTGTAGTTGTGTTTGCCATTTTTGAATAATCATATCTGCAAACAGTCAAATAATTGCCCATTTAACCAATTAATGAAACTTTGCATAAGCATAGCTTGTATTCCTGACCAAGTTTTGTGACATGCTGTGACAAAATGCATCATTTCACGTCCCATCTTCTGTCATTATCTTGAGGTGTGAATCGTGTTTGTTTCTCTTTTATCCTTGCAGGACACTATGAAATACCAAACACGCTTCATCAGTCAAAAGCCACCAAAGGTGGTTTTATCAAGTATGGAAGTTGTGGCACAATCAATGGGATTTAAGACCCATATTCGCAACTATAAGGTTTGTAGCCTGTAATACATGCTTAGTAAATTGCATTGGTTTGCTTAACTGATAGAAACTAATTGAACAGTATTATTAAATCACAAAATGCTTAGAGTACAACAATATTTGCTGTCGCAGAGTCATATTCACACATATTTCTATTCACCCTATTACACACATATTAAATAATATGTAATTGCTCCTAACTTCCTTCCCCGTACTGCCAACTTGACAGCACTATTGAATATATAATAATAACTAACCTAAAACTATTGAATATATAATAATAACTGACCTAAAAAAGGCACTTCCTATTTGTTTTGTTTTAAAAAATAAAATAAATAATAAAAATATTTGAAGTTGAGTATGCATGAATCATGAATGGCTAATAATTAGAGGGTGAGAGTGGGTTTTAGTAGTTATTTAGAGTGTGAGAAGTTTAAAAAATAAATTCATAGGGAACTGGAGTAAAAAGAGAATAAAAAAGTATGAAAGAAAAATAGTGTTTTGAAAATTAAGAGATAAAATAGAATATAATTTGTACATTAAAAAGGTATTCGTCGTTATTAATAGTATAGATACATAACCGCAAATGACATTTATTGTTACACATTTTGATAAATATACTGCTCCTTTCTACCGATAACTGTCATAATTGCCCTTAACTCTTGGTTCCCATCACATCCTCCTTTTCTTTATCATAAGAATTACAACGACTAAGACTCTATGCATACTAGTCATACTCGCATCATCTACCTAAATACTTTAAGTTAATTCTTCTGAAAATAAATCTTGCCATAATTTCCTAATTTTATTAATCTGAACTGATATTGTTCTACATTTTCAGATGAGAATAGAGGGTATTTCTGCAAATAAGACTTCTCATTTCTCAGTTATACTGGAAGTAAGTTTCTATTCTCTTCTAGACTTTCAAGGTCCCCAAACATTTTGGCCAATTTAATTCATTTCCTGATCCCTTTTTCCCTATTTGTTCAAGTAGGTTTTTGAAATTGCTCCTACATTTTACATGGTGGACATTCAAAAAGCAGCTGGAGATGCAGGTGAATATCAAAAGGTCAGTTTTTGAGTGATGCTTTCATGGTTGGTGTGTTCTCCCCTCTCCCCCCTTTCAATTTTTTTTTTTTAATTTGACAAAAAAGTAGTTCCTTTATGATGCAGTTTTACAATAATTTTTCTAGCAATCTCGAGGATATCATGTGGAAACCATCCAATGAAACAAGCAAATTAAGGAAGTCCAAGACTAAATGAAAAGGGCAGTAGTTTCATCGCCTGCGGTATCTTCGGCACTGATTGAAAATTGTAGAAAAAACAAAAGATCTAGTTATAGAGAGCACCTGACCCTTGCATATCTTTAAGGTTAAAAACCCAACTCGGCTAAGCCCCCTCTTTAGTATCTTTAACCACCCCAAGCCTTTTTTATCCAGGATTGTATAACTTACCCCCAAGTAAAAATAGGATTAAACAACTCTATAGGATGTGATTGGTGCAATTAAAAAAAGTTGTACAAACCATCTTGAAGTACATAATTAACTGCACTAATTACTTTTAATGAGGTTGTTTAATTAAGGTACGTAAGACAACATTTTATCCCTATAGAAATAGAAAACCAAATTCAAGTTCGAAATAGAAAATAGGAATCTGGTATAAAACAGATACATTTACAGTATTATAAGGTTGATCTTTGTAAATGTCTTTTATCTCCATTTTTTGTTCCTAGTTCCTACCATTACATTGTATTCAACTATCCCGATCCTATAGTTAGAAGAGTGCCAGTGTTGATTTAATTGTACGAATCTTATATTCATGTTTTCAGTATATTGAGTGTGTATTAGGATTTATTTTCAATTCTACTAAAATCAATTACAAAGCTACGTTGAAGTCAAAGTAACATAACTATTTCAACCTTTTCAATTCCTTACCGTGATTTTAGAAGTGACAAACTATGTAATGCACGAGTTTAGTTCACTTTTTTTTTCTTTGGGATCCATCGAAAAAATTAGAAGAAAAAGAAAATTCTAAAGAATTACAATTTATCCACTGTTATCTTGTAGAGTGTCGACAGTGAAATTACAATGATGCCACCTCCCCATGCTGTAGTTTCCTTTGGAGCTTTGACAATTGCCTATCTTGAACCACGTTGGGTAATTCAGTTTTAACTTGACATCGTTTATTGTTATTTTACCAATCTGCAGGGACAATAATTAATCTGCTGTCAGCAATTTGACTCATTTAAATTCAATTGAAAATAAATACTTTGTACGAACTGTTGGTACCATTGTACGGACTCAGTTAAATAAAGTTTCAGAAATCATGGCCATTTTTCTTTCAGCAAATCATAGTGTGGTTTTCAATTGAATCTACGTTTATCAACCGGGGAAAAGTAGTTCCTATTTCCATGAGCCATGTGAGAAGGAAACCAATTTATTCCTTTTCTTATGGTGTAAGTCAGTAAGTGGTAATGATATAGTAGAGCACCAACACAGCATTAGATGGTTTCCTGATGATTTGTGGGATTACTTCAAACATATGACAATACAAAATTTTCATTCAAATAATGTTTCACATGTTCTGCGAGGCTAAGATCGTTAGACCATCTTAGACGCACAAGCTATTTGTACATTGTTTATTACATGTTAACACGGTTTCATGTATGATCTAGTAATACAGGCTCTACACCTTTGGGAAGCTATAATCACCATCTGAAACTTATCAATGTAGTGTAACGTGTAACAGTAAAATAAGTGGAGATGTGTAAAAAGTTGTATCAGATTTTGATTGCTAACACGTAAACTTTAGCTGCTGCTTAGAGGATATTAGAGAAATCCATCAAAATTTCCACATGAGCATTCTCCATCGACAAATTTGTGAAGCCGCTTACTATCTTTAAGGATGATTTCCCTACTGGTCAGTGTTGTAACGTACTTAATAAAATCATGGCTACCCTTGCATATTAAGGTGTTCTTGACAACTCTTATTGGAGAAAATTTTGGCAAGTTCTCCAACGCAAATGTAATGGCCAGCATCTCACTGTGATAAATGGTAGAGGAAGATGTCTTTTCCTCCTTCTCTTCATCACTTATTTCAACACTTTCTAGCACCTCATATCCAAGATTTTTTGCTTTGGCAAGCAAATCCTCCAATGATTTACTTATTAGTGAGCTCTGTGGGTGTGTTTTGTCATTGGTTTTAAATGAATACACTTTGTCTTTAATGCTAATCCAGCTCCAATCCTTTAATTTTCCAACTTTCTTCTCTTCCATCATCTTCCTCACCCTTGAAACATCCTCAAAACGCCCAGCTGAGTGGTACATATTTAACAACAATAAATATGTTTCTGTATCTTTTGGTTTGAGCTTTAGTAACTGTTCGGCAGCATAAAACCCCATTTCCAGATTCCCATGGCTTCTACAACCAGCAATCAAGTTTGACCAAATATACTCGCTAGGTTTATAATTCATTTTGCTAATGAAACTGAGAGCTTCCTCCAAACGGCCTAACCTCACAAACATATCAACTATGCAAGCATAATGGTCCATAACAGGCTTAATTTTATATCTCTTTTGCATAATCTCAAAGTAGTTAAGTGCTTTACTTACCATCCCAGCATGGCTACATGCTGCTAAAACACCCACAAAAGTGATCTCGTTTGGTCTAACCCCTGCTAGTGTCATATCCTCAAAAAGATGCAATGCTTGTTGTGACATACCATGCTGTGAAAAACCTGTGATCATAGAAGTCCATAAAATCATAGTTCTGGTAGACATCTCTAGAAATGCTTTGCTAGCCCTCTCAATGCTTCCACACTTAATGTACATATTAATCAGTGAAGAACCTGCAATCATATCAGACAAGAATCCGCTTTTGAGAGTCTGAGCATGAATCTGTTCCCCCTGCTCTAGAGCCACCATTCTACTACAAACACTTAAGACACTAGAGAAGGTAAACAGATCAGGTTTCATGTCTGACCGATTCAACTTGGAGAAAAGTTTCAGTGCTTCACTTCCACTTTGGCATGCAGAAAGATTATCCTTTACAAGTTCCATCATCTGCGCATGTCCAGCAATCATCACATTCCACGTAATCAAACTGACATCATCCATTCCATTAAACAACCTTTGAGCCTCACCAATAAACCCACATTTGAGGTACAAATACAACAAAGAATTCCTAACAAGTAAGTTTGATTCATAGCCGAATTTAATGCACAAGGAATGAACCTGAGTCCCAAATTCCAAAGACCGAATTTCACAACACTGGCTCAATACACTAGTTAAAGTTAACTCATTAGGCTTCATTTCCTCATAAATCATCTCAACAAAAAGTCTCAACCCCTTCACAGGTGCACCATTTTCCCCACAAGCAGAAACAGCTGAAGTCCACGAAATAACATTCTTTTCTCCGATTCTCCTAAATGCTTTCAGAGCATACTCCAACCTGCCAGATTTGAAGTATAATTTACAAAGTGCACTGCCAACACTGGGGTCAGAATCAACAAGGTATTTGATTATGTAAGCATGAAATTGATCTCCTAACTTGAGAGACTGCAAAGAAGTGCAAGCTTTTAGAGCTACAGCAAGAGTGTAAACAGAAGGGTAACTTCCTGCATGCAACATTTCTTGAAACATATGAATGGCATGCTCTGGCTGCGAGTTCTGCACATAACCCACCATTAACGTGGTCCACACCACCACGTTTCTTCTAGGCAAGTTGTCAAAGACCCTGCGAGCATCCTCCATGTTTCCACATTTGGCATAAACGTTGACCAGAAATGACATGACAATAAAGTCCTCATGGGTACCTGTTTTCATGACATGACCATGAACAATTTGTGTGTCTGAATAGGAGCACTTGTCTAAGCATTGCTGCAACAAGGGAGCGTAGAAAGATTGTTCCACCTCCTTTGACCCCTCTTTGGCCAACGTAAGCGCTTCCCGAAAATCAGGATACCTGCTGGGATCCAAATAAGTGAATCTGTGGTTTTTCTGTAAAGAAATGCTTTGCCCCTGAAAACAAAAACTGCAGTTTAAGTAGTTGCGTATATTATGCGACTAACTTTTGTGTCAGCACTGCTTATGTTTACAACAACATATCAAAGGTGTTACAGATCCAAGGATCAAAGGGATGAAGATCAAAGTCACAGGAGAGATTAAGAGCATATTGATTGAAAAAGACATAAAAATAGAAAATGTACATAGTACTCTTATTTATACTACCAACGTTCCTTGATAATAGTCTTTTAAGATTGTTTTAAATGGATTAAGATACTTAATAAATTTTCCAATTTTCCACAGAATGATTTTGATGCTTCTTATTATGCCTTCTTCATTTTTACTTAATCAAAAATGTTTACTAGTTGTGATATATAAATTAATTAAAAGTTAGGTGAGATGTAAAAATATAAATGATAACACAATTAATATATATATATATATATATATATATATTAATTTGAAAATGACAAATAAATAAAAATAAATTTTACTAAAAAAACTCATAAGTAAAAGGGAAGGGATGGAGTACCAAGAGATTACAAGTAACTAACAAACTAATAAGTGGTAACTAACTCTATCAGAATTTTACTTTCCTAATAACAGGTTTGAAATGATATGGAATTTCATTACAGATTTCAACACGAATTTTATTACTTCCTCTGTTCTCTAATATAAGAAAAAAAAACATTTTTGTATTCTTAAATATAAGTAAATTTTAACTGTTTTTACTTTATTTAATAATATTTTTTCTAAAATATCTCTCCTTTAATGTATAACTCTTAAGTTGCACTACTTTTTTTTAACATTTATAATAAGGATACTCTTAAGTTGTACTATTTTTTTTAACATTTATAATAAGGATAATTTTAGAAGAGTATTATAAGATTAGTAAAATTTAATATAAATAACTAATTTTTTTTAATATATGTAAACTTACTTTATTTATTCATTTACTTATAATAAAGAAGAAATGCACTGCATTCATTTAAGAATTGTTTCTTTTAGCATTTTAAAAAGAAAATACCAGAACATGTAATTAAAATAAACACAATCAGATATGCATGGTAAATCTTAAGAAAGCAAGATCACACCTCACCTGACACAACTTTACAAAATTACTAGCTTATAAAGTGAGTATTGGTACTTACTCATATACTAAATTTTGACTTTAAATGTGGTCAATTTTATAATAAATATTCCAAAATTCATACAAATGATAATTTCTAATCAGATGTTAAGGTAAAAACTTTGGCACTGAAAATGCATTCATGTTGCTCAGTGAAGTGAAATAAGATGTTCTGAACAAGAGGGTACCTTGTCTGTGGGATAGGAGGTTGGCGGGTATTTTCTGAAGTGTGGGTGGAGTTTGAGAGTTGCAATGACAGCAGTGGAAAGAAACGAAGCCATGGCCTATGGCTGTGAAGGAAAGAAGGTGAAGTTATGGCATGAGTTTACTACTGCTTCTGCTTGCATCGTTGATTGGGTTGCTTTGCTTGAATATGGGATAAAAATTGTGGGAACGGATATCTTATGTCAACCACTCGCTGAGTATGACAACGTAAGTGGGAAATAAGGTTAAAATAAACTAGACTTTGTGTTTTGGTCAGTTTTTTTTTTTTTATTGATATTTTTTTAATTAGTAAAACAATTATAATCTATAACAATATGTAGACAATACAGCCATTAATGCTTATATATTTAATGATGATTTTATTTTTTAATTTCTATTAAATTACTTACTTTCCTATTATAAACCATATTTGCAATTCTTTTGACTGTTTCCATTTCTTATTTTTCTTTCTGAAGAACAGGAAGCAACTATGAGAAATCGGTGAAAATACAGATATGAAATAGGACATGAATTTTTTAAAAATATATAGAGGCATAAATTATTTATTTTATACTAATGTTTATAATTAAGATCAATCTTGAGTTGTCATCTATTTATCTCACTCTTCGTCACTAGTCAATAATTATTTATTTTGAATTTATTTTTTTTATTAACTTTCCTCGCTAATATATTCTCTTTTATAAGAATTGGATTTTATTAGGACGATGAAATTTGAGGGTTAATTAAGAATGATTTAACCCTTTTTTTTAAGGTAATAGATAGAGGTGAAAAAAATTAAGAAATTAAACATAAATAATTAATATATTGAATCTAAAATCGAATCATTTAGACAGTATTTAAGTTTAAATATTTGGTTAAAGTAATTTTTTATTAGATTTTATTATGTCAAATTTGTTTGAAGTGAAATTTTAAAACACTAATTTAAAGAAAAAAATAAATAAACATGAATAAAAATTTCTAGATAACACAAGGACCAAAACTTAGCATAAACATTGTTAATAATTTGTTATTGTCATTTTGTTGTCATTAGGATAATATTGAATAATAATTATCATAATAATAAAAATCATCCGTTCAATATATGTTTTTCTATTTTTTTATAAACATGATTCATGAATGTTATAAAACTAAAAATTATAGACTAATTATATTTATAGAATGCAACTTCTATTGATCAATGTATATATCATTAATTTATTTTTTAACTAGTCAACTTTTATTAAAATTTCAAAATAGCTGCATAACATTACATTATAATTCACTTATGAGAAAAGTTAATTATATTTACACGTGTTTTAAAAATTAAACTAAACCGGAACTGAAAAATCAATGAATTAGTTCCCTGACCAGTTTTAAGTTTATAGAAATCATAAAATCGGCCTAGTAAAAAATCAGGCAAAGAACTGAAAAAAATCAATCAAAAACTAGTTAAAAGATGGTTCATAGCGGATCAGTAAAATATTTTTTTTTATTACAACATTATTTTACCTTTTTTCCTTAAAATATAAAATCAACTCAAAACATTTGTCTTTTTGTTACTATTTTAAATTTATTATTATTAATAAGTATTAATATATCTTTAAAACTTAGCCTTGAGTATTATAATTATATTTTATTTAAACTTTGGCATATACTTTCAATATTAAGAACTCATAAAATTATATTTTAATTTTTAGTATTATAAAGTTATGATATTACGTTTCGTTCATATTATTTTATGTTTAATTTATTTATTTTTATTATTTTATTAATATTAATTTAATTAAAATTAAACTATTAAATCTTAAATTAGTGTCTACACTAATTTAATGATTAATTTGATTTTAAAATTATTGTTTTTTTGACAAATTTTAATATAATTGTTATTAATCACATTGATAATTGGTACATTGTCATTTTTTTTTTTAACCAATTATAAAATAAATTTAATCATATATAGTTAGTCACTTGTGAGGTAAAATTTATAATATTTACAAATTTTAATCACAAATGATAACCTCATAGTATGATTAACTATTTACGATGCAGAACTAACAATATTTAAATTTAAATTTTTAGAAACGTCGTGAATTATATAATTAACCATATATTGACAATCATATACAATTAAACTTATTTACTTTTAATCACCTGTAAATAAAATTAAACATATTTATATATATAATTAACCACAACATGTACAGGTAAATCACATGCGTGACGTATCTTTATCCTAAAATGTAAGTTAAGATTTCAAGAAAATGATAATACTTTTTGGTGTTTTACACTCAATTGAAGCTTTAACATTGACCCTAGCTCTAATGTTTTTCTGCCAGAATGTAACATACTATTATTTGTTTGAGTATAAATAGAAGGGAAAAAAAATGAAATAGAGATGAGTGACAAAGGATGAAAATATTAAATTTCTATTATTTGTTTGAGAAGAAAAATAAAAATTACAATAAACTCCTAAAGTGGATAAATATCTTATTTTACTTTTTAAAAATTCATGGGGATTGGGGAATTTCTGTAAATTAGATAGACGAGGAGAGAACGAGATTTGTAAATAGAAGAGGAATTAAGGTAATTTACCAAATAGCAAAATTTACTAGTGCTCGAACTCCTTTTTGCTACATCTAAAGGAATTTTCAACATGAAATAAATCTATATATTTTTTCTCAAGCTGAAAGGAATTTTCTCCCTTTTCTCTTTCATTTAAACCATTAGTAGTAATAATAATATAATTCACATTTTCATCCAGGACTCCGAGACAATCCATCGAGCAACACATCTAATTCAGCGTTATTAATTCGAAAAGCTTCCAAATAACACTCCAGAAGTAGTAACCATATGCCGTCTTCACTTGCCATACTTCATTGTTTCTATTTCAAAACCAATTGTGGGGAACTGCTTAGCATAATCCTCTACTTCATGACGGAGATTAGCAATCTTGGATTGAATTTGTTCATCTGATTGCATAGCTGCCACAAAATCCTTCAACTTTGTACCTGAAGTTGATTTAACCAACAACAGGGATTTACCAGACGTTAAGACACTTGTTAGGCATTTGAACTGTAAATATAACAAAGAACTAAGATGTACGAAGGTAAGCTAGGCTCAACCATTGGTATTTTCCTTAATCTGCAAGGCTAACTTAACAGCTGCATCAAAGTACTCGGCTACTTTTTTAAAATCTTCCTCAACAAATCCTCTGGATGTGAGAGCAGGGGTTCCTGAATCACAGCATAATCTTCATTAACATGTAATTATAGATCCACTAGTAAGCAAGAAAAAAGGTAAGTGACAGACTATACCCATCCGAATGCCTCCAGGAACCATAGCAGACACATCCCCTGGAACGGTATTTTTATTGGCAGCTATGTGAACTGCTTCTAATACCTTCTCAACCCTAGAGCCATCAATGCCCTGTCAAACAGCACAGCATTGGAAACTGCTTTCCCCTTGATGCTTTAAAATATAAATATTACACATTCAAATCAAACCAATTCTAAATATTAACATCTTTTACAATCTTGGGTTACCAAATATATACCATAAGTACCAAGTCTAAACACGAAATATTCCATAAAATAACTCCGTCACTTCACAAACATTGGTCAAGCTGTTGATTTGCTTGCACGGAATAGGTCTAATGAAAGGCTTTTATTAGGCTTGAGATGTTTCAAGCAGTTTGGGTTGGTAGAATAACTATAATGATGTATGTTAGATGCCAATTTCTAACAACTTAGTTAGGAACAAGATTCTAAGATAGCATCACTATCATAATAAGTGTATGAAAGTCAATTGGGTTTCTATTTTCTGTTAAAGAGAAAATCTTCCAGTGAGCTCTAAGCAAAGTTCCTTTACATAATTATTTTAAAATAAATAAATAAAAATACCAGTATGTCTATAAGTCACAGCATTACACGTTCCATACTAAAAGCTTAATGAAGGAGGCTTTACACCAAATAAATATCTTTTGAATCCAATTTATCCATACTAATAGCTGATTTTTCATTCTTGAATCGAAATAAGTTCCCAATGTATGACTTAAACCAATCATAGAAAGGCTGTTCTGAACAGGTCTATTTGACAAGTAAAAACAATTTGGCACTATCTGCGTTTCTTTTTTAGACAAAAATATGACCAAGAAATTTTCAGAAGAAAGGTTCACACCATTTACCTTGTTTCTTAAGTTCACTAACACTAAATGGTTCTCTGTTCCACCAGATACAAGATCATAGCCTTTCTCTAACAAACTCTGAAGTTCAAATAACACAACAGAGTTAGCTATAACAGTAAAATTTGTCTAGGCTAAACAATAAGTAGAAGATACAACTAATAACTAGTGCTTGATCGGTTCAAACAGCACTGGTGTGCATCATACAAATGGCATTGATTTTACCTGTGCAAATGCCGAGGAGTTGTCAAGTACTTGCTTTTGGTAATTCTTGAATTCTGGTGTCATAGCCTACATTTACAGAAATGAAGAAAGAACTCAACTTACATCAGCCAAAAGATGTTCAAGAATGATTATTATGCTTTTATAGAAGAAAAAAAATATGTTTCCTTGGAAAACTAATAACTACAATTTTTTAGGCCAGTCAATTAAAGAACCTGCTTCAGTGCAACTGCTAAGCCTGAAATAGTATGATTGTGTGGACCACCTTGAAGTCCAGGGAAAACAGCCTGATTTATTTTGTCTTCATAGTCATACAACACCTGCAAGATGAGTTCAGCAACCCAATCTTGAAATGGTTATAAATGTTAACAAAATGAGCCTAACTCAACCCTCAAAACAAGCTAAAGTGGAGAGTATTACTCAATGGACTACTTTGCCCACATACCCAACCAATGTGGATCTTAACGCACATTCTCACACCCAAGCCTTGACATCAAGAGCATAAAACTTACAGGATTAGAAATCTATAGACAACCCAACATAAGGTTTGACATAGGCTTTGGATAAAACGCTAGAATTGATAACAGACAAGGCATAACTCAAAGTTAGATTAATGTGAGAGGATTGCTCAAGTCATATATGTTGCCCATATACTCAGCTGATGTGGGATCTTAACAAATTGAATATAATTGTTTTAAGAAAGTATTAAACAAACGTATCGATAAACATTTATGAACAGAGTCTACAATTACTACAAATGGGAACTTATATTTTTAGGAAAAAATATACTTTACATCCTTGAAGTATAGTCCCTTTCTCAACTCCACCTCCCCATACAAGAGAGAAAAAATTTCATTTTATCAGCTAACACACTTGATGGTTGATTTTAAGTGAAAGTGTTTACTTTTTGAATCAAAGGAACTTGAGGCATATGCACACCAAGTGACCTTACCAATACAATTTTTTTATATTTAATTTTATTACTTAAACCCACTGAAGTTGGATTATTTATCACTCAACACTGCCCCACCCCCCTCCCCAAGTGTATGTTTTCTTCATCGCTCAACCCACTTGGAGATTGTTTCAAGTGTTGGGAGGTTAATCATGTTTTGACTTGAAACGAAATCACACAAGGGTTGCGTAATAAAAAAGAAACTTCAGGGGAGTAAGTTGTGAAAGGGCTATACTTCTGTGGGTTAAAATGTATTTCACCCTATTTTTAATTCCTTTTTTCCCTTAAAACATTAAATTTATATTCTAAAACTCACTTCCTTCCCTTGCTTGTTTATCTCTTTCACACCCTTCCTGAAGAAAATCATAGCCCCACGTGGTCCACGAAGTGACTTATGTGTTGTTGTTGTTACAACATCTGCATAATCAAAAGGAGAAGGAATAACACCCGCCGCTACCAATCCACTAATATGTGCCATATCAGCCAATAGAACTGCCTTTTGCTTATCACAGACCTACAAAAATTCAAGCATAAAAGATTCAATTTGATCCTCATTAAATTGTTCTACACATCAAATACCTAAGTTTCTGCATCAGATGTAATTTACCTTACGAACACGTGCATAATCATAAAGGCGAGCATAAGCACTAGCACCAGCAACTATTAATTTTGGCCTAAAAAGTGCTGCACTTTTCTCCAACTGCAAATATTAAATAAGTCAAGCCATTATAGACAAGTCACAAGTATGCATGAAAGAGGGACATTATAAGCGTGAATCAAACCCTCACCACATTCAGAAAATGTCTTTTGTTCCTCATTTGCAAAGAAAACTAGATTTAGTAATCAAGAACAGATAGCAGAACAATGAAATCTATGGAAATCAGCTACTAAGAAGGCAAAATATTTTGATCTTAGCTATGAAATGATTCAATTTGGCAAAGATTTGAACAAGTGTCTTCTCTCCTCTCTGTTCCTAATCCTTTCCCACTGACCAATTCTGCCCTCTGTCCCCGCCTGGAAAATAAGCAGGTGGTTACAAAACAAACCCACAACATGCTGATCACAAACCTTTCATACATGTCCACCAGGCCACAATCCTCTCCTACTACATACTCTTCCCCTACCATACACCTAAGTTGTTATTTTAAACAATAATGATTTTAAAACCATAATCTCTACCAACACATTCTGTATCCCTAGAATATATCCCTAGAATTCATAATCACTGCAATATTTTAAACAATAATGATTTTAAAACCATAATCTCTACCAACACATTTTGTAGTTAAACATCAAATGAAAAATAAAAACTCAACTCAGGCCAAAAAGATAACAGTGACAGCAACTGAAATGAAACAGTCTGACTGCTTACAAGATTCTCTTTGACAAAAAGGAAACATTCCCAAAACAGAAATACAATGATACCTGCCTACCTGGTCATAATCGATATAACCAGTGCTCTCATTCAATCTGTATGGCATTGTTTCAAAGAATATAGATACAGCTGATATCTTCTTGGTGTCAGTCTGCATGACACATTGACACAAACAAATAATCAAAAACTTGAGTAGAAAGAATATGGCACACATTGCTACAATTAAAAGGGGTCGTAAGGGAGAATTACAAATGGAAGATTATGAGAAGTTAGATTGGGGTCATATTATGATATTGAGGAGTGAGGAAGTTCCTTATTTTAACTTTCAGATAACACTGTTCTTTTTATTTCATATATAAGGGGCAGATATTTTTATAATTGTTCAGGCCCAATTAAAATCTTTTTCGTTCTTGCAATATTTATATTACTTTAACTACCAAGTTTAGTGAGAATTGATTTCAATCACAGTTTATTTGCTAGAATATGATTTCAAAATTCGTATCTATAAATTTCTTCCTCCCTCATCTTATTATGTGAAAAGCTTGTTTTCTTAGCTTCCTTGTGGGTTTACACTCACGGGTTTCTTAAGGGTGTTCCTTGCTGTGACATGCAAGGGGATTGAGTTTCTCTTTTGAATTATTTTATTTCTCTTTTTAATAAATACTTCTCTTATTTACAAAATGAAACAAAAATGAAGGCATGTATTGATCACATTAGTACCTATTTGCCCAAAAGGGAAAGGAAAATACTTATTTGAGCTATTGCTACGATGACCAAAACTGATCAGAAGCAGAACTTAACCTGATAACCGTGTGATAGATGCCCACCATGGGGAAGATCAAGAGCCATAATTCTCTCGTGAGGTTTCAATAAAGCAGTGTAAACTTGGAAGTTAGAAGGGGATCCAGATAATGACTGCACATTGACTGTCAAAAGCAGAGAACATAAGACCCGCCAAGAAAGCACATTATCAAAATTTTGTTCCCCAAAGTTGTGAAGGAAAACAATAGAAAGATAAATGAATGATCCAAATAAAGAATAGCACAAGCTCGCCAAAAAAATAACATTCTACTTATCCAACAAGGCAACGAACATGCTAAAATGTATGCATAAAAAATTCAAAAGCAGGAGAATTCTATAGATTCTCCAGTTATATAAATGAATTTCTATCACAAAGAAGTAAACATAAGTCATGATTGTATACAATATATAAAGCTCCGAGTCATTAGAAAAAAAGAAAGATTAAATGTGTTTTCAGTTTTTGAGTTTTTGTCAATTTTCATTTTTAGTCCCTGAACAATTTATTTTTACTAATTTTAGTCTTTGAACTTTTATAGATTTTCACCTTTAATCCCTATAAACTTTTTTTCTTATTAACATTTTTGGTCTTGACATCAAGAATTTCCGTTCATGGAAGAAAATTTTAAGTACTAAAACTAATAAAAATATGTTCAAGAACTAAAGTGAAAATTGAAAAAAGTTCAAGGACTAAAAATATATTTAATCCTTAAAAAAGAAAGTAACAACTAAGCAACAACAAAAATCATAATGTTATAAATTTCTTAGCCACGACACCTTGATATGCATAAACCACTCAAGATCAGAAAAAAGAAACTCAAATTGCATCACGAATACTGATTTGAAATAAAAACGCATCACGAATGGCTTAGCGCGCTTGCGTACCTCCCCATTTTGCAGGATCCAACCGAAAAGCTTCGAGTGCACGCTTCTGACACAAGGTCTCAGCCATGTCAATGTACCTGAAGCCCGAATTATAGACGCACATCCAAAATCAACACACACCAATCTATAATCTACAATCTACAATCTACAATAAAATAAAATTCCAAATTCGAAAACAAAATGTTCAAAATCAGATCCACATACTCATTTCCTCCATAGTATCTCGCACCAGGATATCCTTCACTATACTTATTCGTCATCACCGATCCAACGGCTTGCATCACCGACAGCGACGTGAAGTTTTCCGAAGGTATAAGTTCGAGCCCCTACACATTCCATACAAACAAACCTCCATAAACACAAACAACAACTACTAAAGAGAATCGGAAACGTTAATTATTGATCCAAAGCAACGCAAATAGAACGAAACACGGATCAACCTTCCATTGACGCGCTTTTTCGAGTTCGATTATGTCCGCGATCTCGGGATCGACGACCTCGAGAGGATCGTTGAGCTGCTTAATCCACTGCAAATTATAGAAAGAAAATTTCAGTCAAAGAATATTAATAGATGCGAAGGAAACGCACGAGTCGCGTCGTGAATCTGAATTGGCTTACGTCGACGCGAGATTTGTCGTTTTGGTGAGCGGAGAGCGAAGAGGACTGGAACGAAGTAGAATGTTAGTCCGTGCGAAACGGGAAAAAGAGAATGAAAGAGGAAATGGAAGATATATATATACACACCGTGCGATAAATGGAAGTGGCGTTGGCGAAGGGCTTGGAGGAAAGTCTGCGAAGAGCCATGGCCATTGCGATGCGATGCGTTGCGTTGCGTTGTGATGATGGTTGGATTCAAAAGGTGGTGTATATGGGTTGGTGGTGGAGGGTGGGTGAGTGAGACTGAGAGTGGGTGTTGGTGTTGAGGTTGGTACTTGGTAGTGATTTCACTTCTCTTTTTTCGTTTTTTTTTTGTAAGGACAAAGCTGTTTTTAGTATTATTTTTTAATTTTAATTCAAATTAAAGTTTTATATTCTTAATTCACAAAATAAATACTACTTCCAACAAACTATCTCTTTAGTTCGGGAATATTATGTTTTCCCTAACTATTGAAAAAATGAAATTATCGTCCCTTTAGGGATAAATTAATTACAACAACTGTGAAAGTGACTTTGAGAACTACTTTTTAGGAAGAGCATGAATTTGAAGAACCAATTTATTGTAAGGACTTCTTTCAAGCAAACTATATAATTGAATTTTCAAATATAAATAAGGAATAATATTAAAAATACTTTATTAAAAATATTTAAAACACTTATAACATTGTATTTTTTTTTTTTTAATATGTGGGTCATGCGAATCGAAAAGCGGGCAGGAAAGGGACATGCAGCACTTGCAACTTGGTTGGATTCGCTATTTCAGTACCACATTACAACGATCAATGGGCACCTTCATACAAGGCATCGTTTGTTTTCTTTTATTTCTCTTTTTCAGCACTACCTCAATTAAACGAAAAGTTCTTATTATTTTTTTTTTTTAAATATAGAGAATAGTATTCCCTTATCCTAAATTTAACTTTTTTTTTTATAGATGAGAAATACCAACAACATAATCTCTAATACATTCTTTTAAATATATTTATTATAATTAATTGAAAGTTAAAATTTATTAAAAAGCATAAAATTTGGTGAATTTTATACTTTATTCAATTATTTTTTTATTTTATGGTTTTTAATATATTCTAATTTAGAAAAGTGAGTGTTTAAGATTTAGGATTTACTAGCACTAATTTAAGATTTAGGAATTAGGGTTAGAATTTAGGATTTAGGATTTAATTTTAAATTACTTAGGATGTCTATCTTAATTAATTTTATGCAATACTTTTAAATTACTTATACAATATACTTTTAAATTAATTATTACAAATAGACATCCTAAGTTTTAATTTTATCTTAATTAATCTTTATAATTTATCTTATTTATAAACAAATATCATAAACTTTAATTTTGTTTTAATTAATCTTATTTCACTTTTTTTTAGATGAATATCTTCAATTTTAATTTCATCTTAATTCATATTTACTATTTATTATTTTTACAAATAGCTTTTTTTTATTAATTTAGAATCAAATTATTTATCTTAAATGCCAATCATTCATTAATTATTTTTCAAATAGGCTAAAATATATTTTTACTCCTATAGTTTCATTTATTTTACTTGTTAGTCCTTATACTTTAAAATAGATTTTTTTAGTCCATATATTTACCCTTTTTTAATCTCTTTAAGTTTTTATTGTTAATTTGTATACAGTGCTATCTCTTTAGTGTTAACGTGATAATTCATGTATGCAACATGAAAAATATTTTGTAGTATGATCCTTGTAGCTAGTTTCACTTACTTTAAAATAAATATTTAATTTTTATACTTAGTCTCTATTACCTTTTAGTCCTTATAATTTAAAATAGACATATTTAATCTTTGTGCTTACTTTTTTTATCTCTTTAAGTTCCTACTCTTAATTTGTGTGTAACATTATTTTTGTGTATGATGTTGACTTATTAAATTTGCATGATGGTGCTTTGTTTGGTTTGGTGGATGGTGATATGTTATTTAATGGTTTGGTAGGAAAAAAAATGAAGAGCCTTTAATCAATATAAGGTTTTTTTCTTACTTCTTTGATGTGCTCGTGAAGCAATCGAAAGAGAACCTCATTATGGTCTTTCTTTTATTACGGTATAGAGTAATGGTATTGGGGGTTTTCCTGCAAAAAGGGGTGTGTTGTTGTCATAATCTCATGGTATGAGTGATGTTGTTTTTGGTGGAGTGTAGTGTTGTTGTTATTTTTAGTGGAAAGTGGTGGTGATGGTGTTGGGTGTCTTGTTCAAGAGAGTTTGGTGGACTTTTATGACAGACCATTTTGTTATTAGATGAACTTTTGAGGTCAAGCACATTGGTGAATGTGGGTGGTTTTAATACATTTATTTATCTCGTTATTCCCTCTAAATTCATAATAGGAGAAAATGTTTTGTTTATTGACCAAGTTAATTTCGTACAAAACTCATAATGTATCCTCACACTTTCATTGTTGATGTATTTTATAATGTGTTTTATGGAGGTTAGTTTTCGTATTGTGAATTAAGCGGGAATAATGAGATGAAAAAATAGATTAAAATCACCTACTTTCATCAATGTGCTTTTCCTTAGAAGTTCACCAAGCAACAACGCACTCCATGAAAAAATAGCAACAATGCACACATCACAAGACTACTACAACAACATATCCTTCCTCACACAAGAATCCCAACATCATTGCACTCCGTTGCAATGAAGGAAATACTAAAATGAGGTTTTTCTCGCTTGCTTATGAACACGTTGTCGAAGATAGAAAGAAGCCTTATGTAGATCAAAGGCTCTTTATTTTTCTCCTTCCGATCCATTAAGTAATATATCACTGCTCATCAAACCAAACAAATTATCACCATATGAACTTAATAAACCCATATCACTAACACAAAATTAGTAGTAGGAACTTAAAAAGATTAGAAATAGTAAGTATAGATACTAAAAAATTATATTTTAAATTACAGGAACTAAAAGGTAAATTAAATGAAACTACATAGATCAAAATGTTATTTTAATCACAAATTAATTTTCATGTCACAAACACAAAGTTAAAGACTTTTACAATATCAATACAAAAGAGACATTGCACAAATAAAAAAGACAAATATTAGAACTAAAAAGATTTAGTTTAAACTATAGGGAATAAAAAGTAAAGTAAGTGAATTTATGACAAAAAAATATATATATTTTAACCTTAATATATTCTTAGAAAGCAAAAAATATATTTTTACACTATTATATCAGAAACTAACTTTAGATTCATAAGAAAATAAAAAGAATCGCTGTACAAAATGCTTGCTTAAGGTAGTTATTATATAAAGAGTAAATATTCACTTTGATCACTGAATTTAGAAGGCACTAACGTATTAATCCTTAAATTTAAAAAATTATAAAGTTAGTTTTGAAAGTGCACATTAACAATCACATTAGTCCAAAATTAATAAGAAAAAATGTCTAACTAAAGTGACAATATTGACATATATTTAAAGACTAAAATGACAATAAATAATTAAATTTTAAGAATTTATTTAATATTTCAATGACTAATTTTATAGTTTATTATATTTGGAGACCAATATGACGTTTTTTAATTAAATCTTGGAATCAAAATAGGTGCTTACTTAATAATTTTTTAAACAAATTATTTTTTTAGATAATCAATAATATTTTTTTGACAATTAATATTTTAATAATTATTAGTTTGCAAGTTAAATTATTAAGATATTTCAATTATTATAAAAATATTAAAAGCTTGGGAAGTCTTACTTTCAAAAACGTGTAATAAGGTTAATGTATTAGATTCTGTTTGTATAAACTTATTCAAAAGTGTTTATAGAAAGAAAAAATTGAAAGAAAAAAAAAAACTAAAACTAATTTCTCAATAAGTTAAAATTAGTTTATGGATAAATTAATTTGTAATTTTTTTGGTGAAATTATATGAAATAACTTTTATAAATTAATTTATACAAAGATTAATTTTAACTTACAAATAAATTTATTTCATTTTTTATTTTTTCTCCTTAAAGTAATTGTGAAAAAAATATTCAAACATATATAATATTTTGGTCCTATTGACTTTTTTGTAAGTGAGCTTGTTTTAATTAACCTCACTGACCTAGGTTAGGACAAAAGAAGGTTTGCCAAACTAAATTTACAGCTCTATATGAAACAATTAAGAACAACAATTATATTACAAGATTTAACCAAATAAAGATCAACGAGACCAATATTTTAAAACTCGGATTGGTAATTGATTTAGGATATATATATATATA